CCCCCCCCCCTAGTTGCCTGCATTTCAAGTCATTGTTTTATCCAAAAGACTTGAATTCCTGGTCCCAACATGTATTTTTACTAGCAGTTTTAAATTTGATACGCTGAATTGGTGTTATTGTAAGTAAGTTAATTTTAGCGCCACACATTTTGCTATATCCTAGCTGGACGAAAGAAAAAATAATAATTGCATCCTATTATTAGTTGTAACAGTTAGATATTAGATTCTAAGAGAGTAGCATAAGACAACACGTTGTTTTGCAAATAGCTACAAATTTAGTTTTTATATTTGTTAAAATAGAAACATGATGGAGTAATAATAAAATAATAATAATAATTATTATTATTATATAATTATTATTGGTGTTGTTCTCGTCGTAATTATAATAATAAAGGATGGTATGAAATGAAAATAGTCTGTTTTGTAAAACAAATCTCTCAAAACCGATTTCGTTAAGTTTACTATCCAATTATGCATATATCCAGATTCGATTCTGTAAAACTGTTTTTCTGTCCAACTATACTGTGAAAGACCTAGGGCGTCGGGACGATGCGCACTGGTAAGCAATGCATTATTGAACTCACGCGGACTTACTTCAGCGTCGTTAACTTTACCTGTGAGCCTCTCCTCCTCCCGAGTTCATTTTCCTCAGTACCGCGTGTCTCGGCCGAGTGGATGGGAATTTGGACGATACTCTGCCTATGTCCAATAATATCAAACGGAAAGGGGCTTAATCATTTACTTGGCCTCTTAACACGCGCATATGTATTTATTTATTTGTCGGTCAGTGTTCCTGAGTCGTCGCAAGAGCCCTTTGCATGTTTGAGTACGATGGAGCGTAATACAAACACGCCTGCAATCACCAGAAGCCTCTTGTGGCCATTAAAAGTCAGTAGTTCAACTCAGGCTTTTTTTCAGAAACTGAGTGGTTCTCAAAGTCTGAAGTCCGCATATGCACTCACATCAAGGCGCCCTTATAAACACCACTCCAACTGTCAATATTTCATCCTTTGCTGTGTTCCTTGCCGTTCTTGCAAGACTCACTGCCGCAACATAAACAGCCTCGCGCGGAAAATTAACTATGGACGAATTAAATTTACGCACAGGTGTTGTTACATGCTTACACGTTTTCGGGGTTGGGGGAAGGCATGGGTAGTCGAAGACCGCGTGAAAGAAATTGTGCGTGGGTGCACAGATGATAGCGCTGCTTTGTATTGTTGCCCTGGCTGCTGATGCCCCGCCTCTGATGGAAGCCTTAAACCTGGCACCAAGCTAAAACAAACGAAAGTCAGCTTCGAGCTCCCACTCAAACCAATTAAGGCGGACTCCAGTGCACACTCATACGTTTCCATCCTGCTGCAGCGACGGTGAAACAACAGGAACAGAGGAGCTGGCCAAAAAAAAGAAGGAGAGATTGCCTTGCCTTCTAATTTCTCCCTTTCCAACACAGAACAATGTCGATGAGCCCTAAGCATACGACTCCTTTTTCTGTATCCGATATCTTAAGTCCTCTTGAAGAGAGCTACAAAAAAGTGAGTATGGAGGGGAACAACTTGGGGCCTCCTCTTGCCTCGTACAGACAACCCCAAGTCACGCAAGCGGCGATGCAGCAGCACCACATGGGCCACAATGGAACAGTACCCGCTGCCTACCACATGACTGCAGCTGGAGTTTCCCAGCTGTCACATTCAGCCATGGGGGGCTACTGTAACGGGAATTTGGGCAACATGAGCGACCTGCCGGCCTATCAAGACGGCATGAGAGGCAGCACGACGGCCACCAGCTGGTACGGAACGAATCCCGACCCACGCTTCTCTACAAGTACGTGAAATTGACATTTTATTGTATTTGCAAGAACTGTTTGTGAATTTTGAATGATAGCTATTTGAAAATGTATTCAGTGTATTAAACATGTCAGCTACAAATTTTTTTAACTTATGCTGTTTTGTAAATCTCCAAGTGTCCAAGTGAACGTGGGGCTTATGACAGTACTGAGGGGAAATATGTTAAGCCAACCTCACGTTAAACGTGCCAGGTGTTTTATCTAAACCCAACCAAACTGCAACAATGAACAGACTCCTAACTGCAGTTCCAGTGTTTGTCCAAAACTAGGAATTTAAACAAGAGACGATTGCGTAATTGTGCACAATCACTATATATATTCTCTCATCTTGCTATCTTGTCGTAGCTCACTGAGCCAATGAGCTTTTGTATTTTTTCTATTCATTATTTGTATTTAATTATTGATACTGATTTTGTGTTTGCTGTTGTTAAATTGCAAAGCTAAATAGGACTGTTCTTTTTGCAGTCTCTCGTTTCATGGGTTCCTCGTCTGGTATGAATATGGGCAGCATGAGCACGCTGAGTTCACTGGCGGATGTTGGCAAAGGCATGGGTCCGCTGACCAGCACGCCTCGCAGGAAGAGACGGGTACTCTTCTCCCAGGCGCAGGTGTACGAGCTTGAGCGACGCTTCAAGCAGCAGAAGTACCTCTCCGCGCCGGAAAGGGAACATCTGGCCAGCATGATTCATTTGACCCCGACTCAAGTTAAAATTTGGTTTCAAAACCACCGATATAAGATGAAAAGGCAGGCCAAGGATAAAGTGTCCCAGCAGCAAATGCAACAAGACAATGGCTCCTGTCAGCAACAGCAACAGTCTCCACGGCGGGTGGCCGTGCCGGTGTTGGTGAAAGACGGAAAGCCATGCCAAGGCAGCAGCCATACACCCAACACTGGTGTACAAAACCACCATCACCAGGGGGGAAACGTCATGATTATGTCCAATAACAGTTCTTCAATGGGCCAGCATCAAAGTCAGCAGGTAGGCAGCGCTGGCCAGTCCCCAGATCTGGGTCAACATGCTGCAAGCCCCCCATCTCTCCAAACCCAGGTATCCGGCCTGTCACACCTGAACTCTTCTGGTTCCGAGTATGGAGCTGCCTTGCCCTGCTCCGCTCTGCTTTATGGCAGGACATGGTGACATCGGAACAGACAATAACACAATAACAAAATGACAGGTGGGTGCAGATAAGCTGTATACCCTGCTCAAAAAGACCATGAGAACAGTGGTTGCGCTCTGAAAGCATTGTCTCCTTTCTGGAGGGAGAAATGACAAGGCTACAAGCAACACGAGGATTGCCAAATGTCAAAGGTATCAAATCTTTTATTTTGAGGATGAGCCCAAAACACCATTGAGAAGATGGAATTATTTATACATACTAGATTTTAAATGGAGACTGATTTAAACACTAAAATCAAATATTCTGTTATCCTGTTGGATTTAAAAAAAATGTCCCGACAATGAAGACATCTCCCCTCACAGTTAGACTGCTAAATACCTTTCATGATTTCTTATAGATTTCACTGTAAAACGTAGCTTGTATATTTCTGTAAAAGGTTTGGACTGATTATATAGTTTTTAGCGATATGTATATTGTACATAATTTTTATCGATATCAAGGGTCACATGTTTTTTCAGTTTTATTGTTATTTGTACGTTTAATTTTCTTGTAACTTATATAAATATTTGACATAAACGCAGTCATACAATCATATTAATAAATTATGACAATAACGACAATAGCCTAACAATACGTTTGTTTTAAATTTGGGTGTAAGAATCAATCACTCGGCGGTGCTAAAAGTGGGACCTGACCAATTTAACGTTATTTTTCTTCAAGAAAACTAGTTTAAAAGTCATCAAGCTTCCACACAACCAGCCATTTAAATTTGTACAATCTTTCTGAACACGCATTAGAAGGAGTTTTGCTGCAGTCGCTCATTGTTTGAAATCGACGATTTCTACTGTTTTGTATTGGATCTCCCTTCAGTGTGACAGGTTTGTGGAGCTGGATTTCTGCATCACAGGCCTCCGAGTAAAGTGTCCATTCTGCAAATAGTTATGTAGTTTTCTGTGTTGCAACACCCATGGAGTCAAACGCCAAATATTAGTACCCTAAATGTGTTGGAAGTTAATTTTGCGTCGTGTATAAATATGTTTGTACAACTGACGAAACCAGGGATCTATTTACGTGCAAAATGAAACACGAGTTTTGTGCATTTTTTGCACAAAACAATTATTAAATATTATAAAATGCACATATAAAAACATACTAATGTTTCATACCAATTTGATTGTAAAAACTATTTGCAACAATCAGTTTTAGATGCCAAGCTAATTGGATTTAACCTGTTAAGTACGTTGTAATCTATTACTTTTTCTAAGAAAACGTTTTTGTAGAGATTTCTTTTTGGAGCTTGTTCTTTGTCGTAAGGGAATGAGTCAGTGCAGGTGAGGTCTCCACTCCTTGAGAGAAACTCACATTAAACAAGCGCTCCTAAAAGCTAACCTATCAATCACATAGCTGTACAAACAGCAGCATTCTCCTCAATAACTTTGCAAGACGAAATAAACACACTTATCAGAGCGCCGTCCATCAATACCGTGTTTGTGAAGATCAGAGGTAAAAATCAAATGCCAGCGTGTTTACGCATTGATAAAGACCGTCAACATCTGAGGGGCGCGGTAAGATTGCTTGTGGTGCCTGCTAGAACGTTTGAAAGTGCGTGTCTTGTGTTTATCTGTGTATGCGGGACTTGCTAGTGCCAAGTAAGAAAAAGAAAAGAAAGAAAATTAAATTAAATTAAATTAAATTAAATATGATAAAGGTATTTCCATTACACTTTTTGGCCAGTTCAGAATTAAATAAATAGCCCACAATTGGGGATGGGGATTCCTGCTACAAGCAGGAATCGATTGTGGACAGAAAGGTCGCGTGTCATTGACTTTCTTTCTTTCGTTCTTTCTTTCTTTCTTTTTCTTTCTTTCTTCAGTAGCATTCTAATTATTTATCCCTTCATTTTTTTGGTGTGCATGACTCTCTTTTCGAAGAACATATTGGACTTTTGTGATTGATAAACTCTTTTATAGATTTGTTTTTTTTTCTTGCCTGCGTGGTCACAAGGAATGGTAGTCTATGGCATGCAGATTTGGGAACCATAATTATCGTTTATGTGGCTATATATATAACTTTTCAATTATATTGAAATTATAAAATTCAATTTTCAGCTTTGTTTTATTTAAATTATTTTAATAACTTTTTTCAAAACTAAACAATTGATATCGTTGTTGCTTTTATGACATAATTGCACTGTTCTTTTGCCCTTATAATAATAACAAAATACTTAGTTGCTCAATTGACCAAAATAATATTTCTAGAACAAGACTGTACTTGGGGCCTGCGATTAACCCCAACGTTGTGATGGATGATAACTGTGTTCAATCATTTTATTGCCCAAGTTTCTTTTAGCTTGACAAACCAGAGTTGCAGTACATTGATTGATCTTAGTGTGTATAACTCTCGGTTATTTGTGGGAAGAAGAAAAAAACTGTAGTAAACTGTGCACTATTTGGCCTGATATTTTATAGGCTATGCTTCAACAGCTAGTAGCTCTAATTTAACTTTTGATGCAAAGCAAAACTTGTACAACTAGGCCATTAGTCCGAATGCTCGGTATGGCCCTTGTTGCTGTTTCTCGCATGGATTTTTGTACCGTTTAATCGCAAATAAAACTCTCTGCATGTAGTAAACCTTCAACTGATGGATGTATTTATGTGAAGCTCTCGCGCCAATAAGCGGGCAGTGGGGCGCGCGTTTTAATGACTCACTGATTGTAATGGAGCTCTTCTTTTCTGTGAAGGGTCGTTAAATCAACAGATCATTTTGTCGATTATGTCCGAAAGTATACTTTCGAAGGCCTACAGATGCTTCTTTTGCACTGATATTCAGTTATATGTAACCTCCACCTAAAACTGTTAGCAATGTCTATACAGTGTCTACAAATACATGATCAATGGGCGAATATTATTTGATCTTTTTAATTTCACCCAACCTTAAAAAAAAAATGGTTTGAGAATTTTAAATATTCGTTCATTTAAAAGGCATGTTAGCCATCGTGACAAGATATAATATTTATAAAGTTTAATTTACAAGGAGCGAAAATTGAAAGTGTGCCTATTACATCACTGCAGTGTTAATAACCTTCAGTATTTAGACGGATGTCTGCTATCCTAACCGTGCGTACTTACATCGCAAGGCTGGATAAATTGATTAACCACACACATAAAATAAATGTTCATTTTATAGGCAAGTAAGATTTTCTCTTTTATCCGTTGTGCAAATTCAATCACTTTCCACAGCAATCTACCGGCGCCGAAAGAGTCTATTAGGATTTCGGAGATTCGTTTTGTTAGAGCTCCTCTGAAAGACTCCAGATTACATTAACATGTCTGAGGCTCGGTGTGTGGTCTTTGTGTGGAGCTTGTAGCTGTTGAAAATGACTTGTTGGAAGCGTGTATGCTCTCATCACTCTCACTCAACACACTTTGCACAACTGCGGACTGTCCTCGAGGCTTTGGGTGCAAAGGTCCCAGTCACCTCCCTGCAATTAGACCCCAATCCCAACGCAATCATGTTAGAGTTAGGATTTCTGAGGTTCGTTCCCTACTTATTCTACTATGTAGTTCGGAGAAAGGGGTTGATATACACTATCTGCATTTATAGCGTATTGTATTGAATCTTATAGATAAACCACAAAGTTTGGACTTAATCATTTGACATTATTCATATAATAATGTTTTTAATGCAGAATGAATAATTATATGGATTTAAGAGCAATGTCCCACTAATTTTTTTAAAGAGCATAAAGAAGCTTCGTGTTCACGTACAACGCAAATGTAAACATCAGATAAGTGTCAGAACAATAAGTCTTTATGCTTACACTAATAACCAATAATCATGTCAATTGCTTTTACTCAAGCGATCATCTTCTATTTACACCGCTGACTTGAAACATGTCCACACAAAACAAACCTGTTTCGGCCACCCTCGAAAAGTAAGGTTATGTAATGATTTGCCCACATTATGTAATATTTTTAGTTCGCATTATGTCATTTGCTCTGGAGCTGTCCGGGGTGCTGAAGTTTCTTCCGCTAGCATTGCCATGCAAACTATATTTAATTAATAATAGCTTTATTTCCAAACACAAAAGTATAACTTAAAACCACAAGCGTATAGGTTTAAATGAAATGCTTAATTGGACAATTTACAGTCCACAACAAAGTCAGGCGAGAACGGTCCAAAGTCTATTCAAATTTTTTAATATCCAACAACACCACATTTCAGCTTGATACGAACTCTATTCTTGACACACAACAGCGCAAGATATGCGGTGAATTTAAGGCAAACACTGCGATATGAGTAAGGAAAAGCACTACAAGTCGCTTAACACACTTAAAACTGAGATGAGATCAAATTTGGCATTAAATTATATAAAGACTTAATCGTTTACAGTTATACAGCCACATAAAGCAAACCCTCTCTTTGTCGGTACTGCTGCACTGAATTACGTTGAGTCTTTAAAACTACATAATAGTAAGCCTCTGCTCAAAAAGGACAGAGAAATGCTCTTCGTAGAAAACTCAATTTTTCGAATGCATCTTCCGTGTTTAATCTAAATACATCTTAAATGGGGTCTGTAAAAGGAAAGTAACAAACAGAAATTAAGATGAACCAAGACTGGATTTCGTGTACGACTTCCAGCACCTCATTCGTAGGTGTACCAGCTTCATCTGATATGTACATGACAAATGGCACAATTACACATTAACTGCAATCACCTCCTTTAGTAAATCTTATTGTCAACTAGTAGCAAGAATATATTTAATTGTCCAGCATTTATATGCTTCTTGAGGCCATTGTGCTGCGTACGCAGACGAGAGTCATTTACAAGATGAAATACTTAGCATGCAGCGCGGAACACAAGATGCAGTAATACTTGACCTTTCAGTGTAATTGTGGCACCAGTGAAATGCAGCGCATTCAGCCTTATGTGAATGGAGCCTTTCCCATCCAATGAACAAAAACTGCATTTTCATACCTTCCCATTTCTTTACTGTTTTTTAATTGTATTTATTTTGTT